TGCTGGTTAGTTTTGTGACAACAGAAGCCAGCAGCATCTTTCACCACTGACAGGTCTCTGTGCCATCAACCCCGACACTCTCTGCACGTTCTCGGCCAGGCTGCGCAGAGGGCACGGCAATAAATGCCTCCTACACTGAGCTGCAGGCAAACCTGTGGGACTTACCAGCCAATTGAGAGTGGTGCCAGCCCTAGGCTGGTGGTGCTATTAGTAAGAAGACTAAGCAAGCCATGATGAGCGAGCCTCCTCCATGGTCTTTGCATCAGCTCCTGCCTCCAGGTTCCGGTCCATCTGAGTTTGGACCTTGGCTTCCCTCGATAAACTGTGATTTAAGATATGTGAGCCAAATAGGCCTTCCCCACCCTCACAAGTCTGGTCATGGTGTTTCGTCACAGCAACAGGAACCCTGACCAAGATGTGACACTTGTCGCTCTTGAAGTAGATCCAGATTGGGTTCCCAGCAACTGCATGGCAGCTCACAACCGTCTGTCACTCATCCTGATCCAGGGGCTCAGATGTCCTCTTCTAACCTGCGTGTGTACCAGACACACATGATGGCACACATACATAAACACAGACAAACACTTATGCACATAAGAACAAATAAATATAAAAGAGAGAGAGAAAGGCACTTTTAAAAGTCTGTATCAAATGAAATGTTTGTCGCTGCTTCCTTTCTAGTGCCTAGAGAGGAGACCCTGACAGTTTCTGTACTCATTAAACAAAGCTGTACTGAAAACTTGGCTTATGGGGGTTTTCTGAGCCATATTGGGACTCTCTGAAATTAACTGAAGAATGTCATATCATTCTATTGACCTACACACCAATTTTCCCACTTTTATTAATTAATTCAAAAGTTCCGCTTGCTAGGGCGCCTCCCTCTCCACTCATTAACACTTAACACAGGGGAAGCGGTTGGCATAGCTTTCTGTGTAGTCTGCATAGCAAGCGTCAGTTTTTACCTTTGCCTCAGACGCCACTGAGGGAGAGGTGTAATTGCTCTACCTTGTGTGTGCTCTTTAGTTCACGCTAACTTAGTCAATTGCATCGTGTGCTCTTTAGTTCATGTTGATAACGACTGATCTCAGACACTTGTTTATGCGTCATTTCGTCTGCTAGTCTCACCTGTAGCCTGTGCTTTTGCTTTAATATTCTTGTTTTACATAAATACATGTGTGTGAGACCACCACGCAGAGACTTTCTTGTTCCCCATGTATCTGTGTTTTTTCCTACTGCTTCCTCTAAGGAAAGTGGCAAGCTTGCTGTAATCAGAGTTTCCTTCCGACCACCAGCTCACAGATAACGACAAGGAGACTTATTATTAATTATGAAAGCTTGGCCTTAGCTTAGGCTTGCCCCACTTGCTCTTATAACTTAAAAAAACATATTTTTATTAGTCTACATTCTACCACATGACTTTTAGCTCTTCCATGGCTCAACAGTGTCTTGTGAGTCTCGATTCATCTCCTACTTCCTCTCTCTCTCCCCGGAAATCCCACCTACACCTCCTGCCTAGCAGTTGGCCATTGAGCTTTTTATTGCACCAATCACAGCAATAAACCCTCACAGCGTACACATGTGTGGCACCTGCGCCACAAGCAAGTCCGAGGTATCAGGAAAAGAGAGACAGATGTCCACTTGTTTGTACTAAGAAAATGCATGTGCTGCCTTTATTGCCAGGAGTGTGTGTGTGTGTGTGTGTGTGTGTGTCTTCATTGCAAGTGCTAAGAGGTCTCTCTTGTAGGAGGGAGGAGCTTTATATACAGCTTACAGCACAGTGGAAAAAACCCAGGTAGAAGAGAGCGTGTTTTCCTCCTGTTAGATGTTGATGTCAGAGGGTCAAGGCCGGGACAGTAAGCCAGGACTAGAAAACAGGAAGCACTTGGACTGTAAAACAAGTTGCACTTGTAGGCTGACCAGCAACTCACAGAGACCCCGTGGGGCTGGGGCCCAACACACATGTCCCACAACAGCTTTCTCCTTCAAATCCATGCAGCCTAAAGTCTAGACATGCTATATTAATCCCCAGGCTGCTTAGAACTAAGGAAAAATGCTGAGAGAGATTTTAAAATCCAAGCAGTCATGAAGTTTATATAAGATTACACCAATAGCAAAAGGTTTTACTGTCTGACCAAATAGACAGACGGATTTAATTTATTTCATTCTTTTATAAATTAGATTCAATACACCTCTACGTATAGGGTAGTTCATGTGTGTATGTAGGAATGTGTGTGTTTGGGTACACATGTACTTGTGTGTACATGTGGTAGCCAGAGGTAAACCTAGATGTCACCTCTCAGAAACCATCCAGCTTTTTGAGAACAAGATCTCCCTCTGGAACCTGTAGCTCACTGACTAGGCTTGTGTCTTAGTTACTTTTATACTGCTGTGACAAAACACTATGACCAAAGACACTTACAAAAGAGTTTAAGGAGGTTACAGTTTGGGGCTCAGGGTTCCGGAGGGTTAGAGTCCACGATGGAAATAGCAGGCAGCTAGAGCAGCCGCTGAGAGCTCACGTCTTGAACTGCGACCAGGAAGCAGAGAAAACCACTTTGAAACGGCCGGAGTCTTTTGAAACCTCAACCCTTTTTCACTCTATCCTAGCTTGAGACAGGGTTTCATTAGGTTGTCCAAATAGCCTTGTCCATTAAAGCCTTTTTCCCCAGGCTCCTGAATAGCTGGCATTCAGGTCTGTGCCACCAGGTCTAGCTTCCACCTCGTACCTTTAGTATTACCCTAAAGTCCACGTGCTGAATGAAGGTCTAATCTTCAAAGCTTCGATGGCGCTTTCAGGAGGTGATTGGATCATGGGTGCTTTATGAATGGACTGACACGCTATGGACTCATAAACTAGCCCACTCTCTTTGGCTCCTGGCCCTCCACCACTTACTTCCTGACATGATGCCTAGCCTCACCACAGGCCCAGAAACATGGAACCTAATGGCCACGCACTAAAGCCAGGAGACAAATCAATCTTTCCTCTGTAGAGGGGATGCCAGTATAGCAGCTGACATCCCGTTGCCAAAGTTAGGGAAAATCCCCAAGAGCATCCCGGAAGCGCCCACTGACACCGGATGACTGACCCACATGGGTGAAATCCTAGGACGGGGAAGCAGAGTGCGAGAAAAAACCAGGGAATTCGGTAGAAGCAGATTGATGTAGGTCCATTAGCCAGTACAAACATTCCATAGGATTGAAATGTTTATCAATAGAGGAAGATAGGCAGAGGACGGTAGGCCCTCTCCACTCTGTCTCCCCAGCATCTCTGTAAATCTAGAACTGTTCTACTATTAACTTTTATTCTTAAAACCATCTCATAATATCCCTTAGCTACAGAAAAATTTTGCCCAAAATTTTAACATACCCATTGCTCCATTCACATCCTCAATTTGTGTTTAGTTGAAGTCGAGCTTACCTCTCACGCCCTTGAGTTCTGCCTTCCACTACACTTTTTCTGTTCTGGAACAATTTGTCCTACAACACAGAAGACAGAGTTGTGGACTGAGACTAGGGATGCATTCCCGTACTGGCACCTAGCGCTGTTTCAGCACCATCTACATGTCAGAACCTGGTTTATGCACATGGTGTGCTAAAATCCGTTTAGCACTTCATATCAACTCTACAGACAGTCATTACCACCCTTTTACTGCTGAGAAAATTGAGGTAGCATCTCTAATGAGGAATAATATCAAGAAGACAAATGCAATAAGGATGGGGCGAGGCCGTGCGTGTGCAACCCAGCAGAGCACCCTGGGGTGTCTTATTGCTAAGGAAAGGCCAACGCCAATCTCACTTTGACTTTGGAAACACTGCTTTCATTCCAAGCACAGCTGAGTTCCTCTGGGTGCCTTCATGCATTTGGTCTGCCATGGATGCTTTCTAGCTTGTTTTCTGGGATGAAATTTTTATTGAGATTATTTGTTACTTCAGATGCAGTTGTAGGGGATAACAGCGTCCCCAGGTACCTTTCATCCAGTTTTGCCCCATGACATTAAAATGAAAAACTACAGTACAGCATTGTCACTGTTCTGTCGCTGTGAAGAGACACCATGGCCACGACAACACGTATAAAGGAAAACCTTTTCATTGGGGCTGACTCGCAGTTCAGAGGTTCAGTCCATGGTCTTCACTGCAGGAAGCATGGCGGCGTGCAGGCAGACACGGTGCTGGAGAGTAGCTGAGAGTTCTGCATCTGGATCTGCAGGCAACAGGAAGAAGAAAGACACTGGCCCCGGCTTGAGCATTTGAAACCCCAAAGCCCACCCCCAGTGACTCACTTCCTCTAAGGAGATCATACTTACTCCAGCGAGGCCGCATGTCCTAATCCTTTCCAATAGTGCCGCTCCCAATGAGTCTATGGGGCCATCTCCATTCAAACCCACAAGCCTCATACCCAAGACACTGGTATTGAGGCAGCCAGCAAATGCTACTCAGCATGCACTCATTTACACATCTTTTCTTGTCTTTACACCCCAGTCAAGACGTCGACGCATTAAGGAATCCTGTGTCCGTCCGCACCTCCTTCCTTCCTAGTACCTAGTCCTTGGCAACTAGTCGGCTACTCTCTGCTTCTAAAATCCCATCATCTCAAGAACACTGCATGTGCGGTCTCATCTGGTACATCACTTTCAGAGAGGAGCTTTTACCACTCAGTTACACTGTGTGTCTGTCCACTGTGTGCATGCAGAGCCCACAGAGGCCAGAGAGAGCGTCAGATCTCCTTAAAACTGGTGACTGGGAGCCACCGTGTGGGTGCTGGGACCCAAGCCTGGGTCCTCTGGAAGAGCAGCCGGTGCTCTTAGCTGCTGAGCCACCTCCGCAGTCCCTGACCCCTGTAGTTTTACTGGTTGTTTTCCTATTCGGTTGAGTTCTCTGTTATGCTTCTCTCTCATTGCTGGTTTGCTGTGGTGGAGTGGCGGATTCCTCCCTAGCACTGCGTACTCAACTGTCCTCCTCAGGACATTTAGCCTTTGTGTACAATGCTATATTTTTGTATTCAGGAGAAAACAGGAACACAGTCCCCAACTACCACAAATGATGCAGTCAAGTTTCCTGAACGTGGGGAAATCACAAGGGCCAGCATATCCCAAGTGCAATGAATAAGCCACCCTAGGAAACTCTCCTTCTTGCTAGCTAGACCTCCCCTCTCAGGCCTGTATGTGCAAAGTACATTTCGAGTACCTTTTGAAGTCTTGAAGTGCCTTAATTTTTACTTCCCTTGAAATGTCCTTATTTCTGTGTCAGTTTTTAAAGGCAGCTTTGCTAACTATAGCATTCTCCATTGACAGTTACTTGCTTTCAAACCTTGAAATGGCTCCCCTGGCTTATTGAGCTGCTGTTGAGAGACCTGAAGTTATACTGGGATATTTACCTTCGTAGATGAATTGGCATTTTCCATAGCAGTTTTGTTTTGTTTTTGTTGTTTGTTTGTTTGTTTGTTTTTCTGAGACAGGGTTTCTCTGTATTGCTTTGGAGGCTGTCCTGGAACTCGCTCTGTAGACCAGGCTGGCCTCGAACTCACAGAGATCCACCTGCCTCTGCCTCCCAAGTGCTAGGATTAAAGGCGAGTGCCACCAACGCCCAGCCATAACAGCTTTTTTAGATGTGTTTATTTTAGGTTTATGGATGTTTTTCCTGAGTGTATGTCTGTGTACCACATGTGTGCAATGCCTGAAGAGGCCAGAAGAGGGCACTGGTTCCCCTGGAACTGATGTTACAGATGGTTGTGTGTAGGGATCAAACGTGGGTCCTCTGGAAGAGTGGCCTGTGATTTTAGCTGCCGAGCCATCTCTCCAGTCCCTCTAACAGTATTGTTTGAGTGTTTGCTTTGCTTTAAAGATAAGATCTCACAATATAGCCGTGGCTGACCTGGAACTCACTATGCAGACCAAGCTGGCCTCCACCTCACAGAGATCCACCTGCCTCTGTCTGTCTCCCAAGTGGACCAACATGCCAAGCACCCTAATAGCAATTAACATGGCTCCTTCTTCCTGTAGAGTTGATATCTTGACTATATGCCCTCAAGATGATCTCCCCTGGTAATGTCTACTTGGGGTTCTAACGCCTCTTGTGTTTGGCTGTCCACACCGTTCTTCAGATTTGGAGATTTATGGGCTGTGATTTCATTGACTATGTTCTCTGCATGTTCAGCATTTCTCTCAGCTCCTTCTTCCAGCCCATAGTTCTTAGGCTTGGGCTCTTGACCATGTACTAGAGCTCTTGGACATTGCTGATGTTGGTAGCACTTTTTAATCTTCTCTTCTACCTCTAATATCCTTCCTTTTGAGGCTATTGATGATACTTCCCGCCAGGTTTTTCCATTGAATTCACTGAGTTTTTCATTTTCAATATTTATAATTGCTGTCTTTTACATCTCAATTTTCTTTCAGAATTTTTCTCTCACGTTGCGTCCTTTTTCATCATTATCACTGCATTTCTTGTCTGTTTTGCTGCTTTGTTTTTCTTTCCTATGTTGCTGCCTTTCTTCTCTGGGTCTGGATAGAATTCATCATCCAGTTTGTGTCCCCCTCAAAGCTACTGATCACTTTCACCAATCAGCTTCTGAAGTCTCTATCTGGCGTTTTACCCATTTCCATGTCTCTGGGTTCAGTAGCTGAGGAGCTGTGATCCTTTTCTGTGTTGCATCTTGCACTGCTGACTTGAATGCCTCCTGGCTCGCTGTATTTAGGGACCTTGCTGCTGAGCACCCTGCTCTTGAAGACTCGGTCTGCTCACAGAAGGGAGAGGAGCTGCTTCCGGGGGCGGAGGTCTGCTCACAGAAGGGAGAGGAGCTGCTTCCGGGCGGAGGTTCTGCCTCCCCGCTCTCCCGAGGGAGCTGTGTCGGGCTTACTTCTCCCTGTGTGTCACCCGCATTCTCTCTGCTCTGCCCTTTCAGCCCCTGTGCAGGCTCCCAAGGCTTTCCCCTTGCTTCTTTCTGGAACAGAGCACATCGTTTTCTTACAACAGGCCACATGAGAGCAGTTTCTAGCACACAAACTACCTGGAAGAAAGAAAGAGGTGGGACTGTTAAGATCTTATTCTCCTTAGCCTAGATTTGAATTAGAAATCTGTAACAGAGTGAGCAGAGATAACCAGGGCCTAGAACCTCATTTCCCCAGAAAAGGTCCAGTTAATCTGCCTTGCAGTTAACAGATGTTCCAGCCTTTGTCTCATGGTTTGTATAAATTACAAATCACAGGCACAGTGAAAAGAAATGGAGACCCCCTCCCGACTCCATCCTCTTAGGCCAGAGTGTAAATAAATCTGTTTTCCTTTACCAGTTTCTGATGACTGAAATGGGATAGCAATAGACTTTGATAATATGAACTGAAGTTTCCAGGGAGGGAAAGGTAGGTGTGTGTGTGTGTGTGTGTGTGTGTGTGTGTGTGTGTGTGTGTGTGTGTACGTGAATGTGTCAAAGATTCTACAAAGCTAATGGACTAATTACAATTCTATGACTATAAAGAGTTGGTTTCTCTCTCGCCCCCTCTCTGTGATTTTGTGATGGGAGCCACCAGCTGTTCCCACCACTATGCCTTCGGCCCATCATCATGGACTCTAACCCTCTAAAACCAACAAGAAGTGTGATGCCCAGAACTTCAGGAGCCTGTCTGTAATCACAAGAACACACCCTCTGCGTGTGCTGAGACAGGTGGAGGAATGCGGATGTGAGTGTATCCCACTTGATGAACAATACTGAAGTCAGTTCCTAGACAAAGCTATTTTTCCCTAAATTTCTTGGTACCTAAAAAAAAAATAAACTCCTATGCATCTTGGGGAAAAAAGAGTTGGAATGTTGCAGATCCAAAGCCAAAATTATCTTGGGCTTTCTTTAGTTCCCTTAATAGCCATTTATTGACTACTTCCCCATCTGATCTGACATCTCTCTGTCAGGTGAACCCTTTGGAATGTATGACAGACCAGAAGCTTCCAGCAGCCCAAAAGCAAAGAATTTCATTGGGTGACCTCCAGGAACTTTGTCCCTACTGTAACTCACTTAGCTGAACTGCCCACCAATATGTTTTCAAATGTCTTGGCTTATAAATGTCTTTTATTCTGTGTCTACAAACACTCATGTGTGGTGATATATTATGTATGATTTGTTAAAGCCTGCCCAGAGGATTCAGAAAACAAAGCCAGCCTCAAGCTATAGAGATCAGGCAGTGGTGGCACACACCTTTAATCCCAGGACTCAGGAGACAGGCAGATGGATCTGAGTCCAAGACCACCCAGGGCTACACGAGACTGAATCAGTCTAAAAGAGTAACAGAGCTCAGGCCTTTAATCTCAGCACAAGAGAGGTAAAAAGATAGGAGCAGGGTCTTCAGTAGTCAGTCTCAGGAGTCTCCAGCCACACTGAGGAGAGCACAGCGGTCTGAGTGAATCTGAGGAGCAGTGAAGTCGGGAGCAGTCTGAGGATCGCCCCTTTGGTCTGAGCTGAGGTAGAGGTGAGAGCTAGTGGCTGGCAGCTTTGCTTTTCTGATCTTTGTCTTTAAGCTTGAACCCCAATATCAGTCTCTGGGCCTTTTATTTTCCCTGCTATGCTCGTGGGACTGCTTCCACATAGGAACATGTCGTTAAGGGCGTGTTAAATCCACATTCCCAGATCATCATTAATCATATGTGGCTCAATATAAATTACTCCTTTCTGTAAACCCTTAATGTTAGAGCTACCCCTCGCATCTACAGTTTGGGGTCCTGGTGTGGATTCCGAGAATGACGTACTTTCACCAGGGAAAGCACCCTGGCCTCAGCAGATCCCAGCATGGCCCTTGTTCATCCAGAGTCCCTCCCCCAGTCCATACTGTTTCTTCTTCCCATGGCCGGGACAAGCCTTTAATTTTGGCCTGTGGCCCATTGGTTCATCCCGAGCTGGCTGCTGGATGAACCAATGGGTTTTCACGGCATTTCTTTTCAGAATGCTTGCTTGCCGGCCAGCATTTGGCGTCTCTCTAGAACCTCACCGTGCATCTTTCCTATGTGTTACCATTTTTATTGCACGCGCCTTTTAGTTACAAAAGTCTATCGGTGCCTGATCATAAAAATGCCAAAGATGCGAGACGTTTGCTTCCTCCTGACTCACAAGAAGTCCCCGGCAGCGCCTCACATTCCTGCACTGGAAGGAATCCTGTGGCCTGGAGCAGGAAGACTCACATGGGGGGTATCACCCCGTGTCTTGAGCCCCCTCGTGTTCCTGTGCAGATGCAGGGCGCCCCGGGAAACATGTGAGGAACTTGTGATGCCTCATAAGCAACCCATCACACTGACCCAAAAGTAAGCCTTCCAGAAGGTTGCAGTTTCCAGGAAAGGGGGAAGAAGACATGGCAGTGGGAAATAAAATTCCAAGAGGAGAAACTGTTTGGAGGAGAAACCACCATTTGAACTCCAGCTGATTTATGTTTGATAACTAACTTTTGATAGTTAACTCAACCTTCAGGTATTTTTTTTAGGGAGAACATTCCATATTTCCAAGCTGGAGGTTTTGAGTAACAGACTAGACATCCTTGACCACAAAACTAAGAGTTGTAAGAGGTAACTGATTGAAATTTTTTAAAACCTAAATAAATAGTAGAGTTGCTCATATACTGGGAAACAGGGAGATTAAGAGATTCTCAAAGTTGAAAATAAAAATCTTAAAATTTTAGAAATAATAAGTAAACCTTAAATGTGTAGGACTAACGATAAGTTCTTCGAAGTCTAAGCTGTCTCAGTCTGCTACTTTCGTCTGTCTTTAACCTTGACCTTTCTCCTTTTTCATCACCTACTTTCTTTCTTTCTTTTTTTTTTTAGGTTTTTTTCAAGCCAGGGTTTTCCTGTGTAGCCTTGAAGGCTGTCCTGGAACTAGCTCTTGTATATCACGCTGGTCTTGGCTCACAGAGATCCTCCTGCCTCTGCCTCCCAGGTGCTTGAATTAAAGGTGTGCGCCACCCCACCCAACTTATCACCCTCTTTTACTCTCTTCTCTACTCATCCTCTCTCTCTCTCTCTCTCTCTCTCTCTCTGTGTGTGTGTGTGTGTGTGTGTGTGTGTGTGTGTGTGTGTGTGTGTGTGTGTGGTGTAGCTTTGGAGCCTGTCCTGGAACTCTCTCTGTAAGCCAGGCTGGCCTAGAACTCACAAAGATCCACCTACCTCTGCCTCCCACGTGCTGGTATTAAAGGCG